ACGGAATATGGACGGAAGGACGTCCAGCGCAAAGAAAGGTTGAAATGAGGGCAAAAATGCCAAAAAATGAAAGGTAGGGACGTTTTCCACAATAGACTTGAAAGGTAGGGACGTTTTGTGCCAATTACCCTTTAATTAACGGAAAAACTAACGGAATATGGACGGAAGGACGTCCAGCGCAAAGAAAGGTTGAAATGAGGGCAAAAATGCCAAAAAATGAAAGGTATGGACGTTTTCCACAATAGACTTGAAAGGTAAGGACGTTTTGTGCCAATTACCCAAATCTAATTCATTTGTTATGATATTCGTAGAGGCCTTTAGTTGAACAACCAAGAAATAACACTAGTCTTGGAGGGGTACTTTTAAGTTTGACCCAGTCAAAGGGAGGAAATTCCACGTTCACTTTGAAAATCATGAATATTATCACATTGGCCTCTTGAATGTTAAAAGACAAGGATGCCCTTAAATGTATTATACAATTACAAAACAATGTATTATTGAAAAGACTTTACTACCCTTTTAATTAATAACTGAAAACCAAATATTTTCCCACTTATAAAACTTCAAAACGAGCTTTCAAGACAGAAAAAACTCTCATTTTTCATCTGCTTGAACCTCAACATCTCAAAAAACGTTTAAACGCTGAATCCGAAATTTTTTTTCATATCAATTTCTTCAAATCAGTAAGCATATTTACGCATGTTTAATTTCTTTTTCAATAAATTAGTATACGTTTGAATAGAGAAAATTTATTTCGACATAGTAATAGTTAGTATTAATTTTTTTTAGCAGATCTTACATATGAAAAAAAAATTGAACAGATCTATAATTTTTTCTTCTACGTAATGCGATAAACAAAAAAGCAGTTGGCTGTTTAAGTAGCCAAACAGTCGGTTGTTAAACTGCCAAACAGTTTGGCTATTTAAGAGCCAACAGTCAACTGTTAACAGTCGACCGTCTGTTGACAGCCGTGGCACTGATTTTTGTTGGCAATGCATTATTTTTTCTTATAATTAATAAATAAAGTTGATTAAATCAATTTCCTCATGCAGATATGATAATCCCTGTCTGTTATTTCGGTGATTTCGAATTGAATAAAAATAATCGGTGGGAATGAAGATGGACGAGTTACATACGTGGTTGTATTGCAATTTCCATGACAGAGAGTACGCCATACTTAGAAATGTACCAGATTTGCAAAATAAGTTGAATGTCGATCAATCTCAATACGATATGCAATTGAGATATCTATTCAACGGTTATGGGGATTCATCAATTCCAATGCCACCTGTATTCATTACTAATGATGCTGAATTGAATTATCTATTAAAATTGAATAAAATGTATCGGACTCCGACTGTTCTTGGTGTGACATTAATTATGAAGGATGTTATCAAAGGTGAACGCGAAGATTCAGATAGGGCGGATAACAATGATCGAGGTTTTTGGGAGACAGTGGAGATAGTTCCTGCAGATGATGTGGTTATTCCTGAGACAGTTGCTTCTGATCGTGATGTCGCTGTTACGCGCAGAATTCCGTCGACGGTTGAATACAATGAGAATATAAACGAGTTTACAAATGAGAATTTGATTGCTTTATCCCGACAGAGACATGAGCCGGGTGGGAGCTCACAGGTTGGAATAAGTGGACCGTCCTCCAATTCTTCCCGTGTGGCTCCTGATTATGAGGACTTGTATGTCGAGCAACTGTTTGAAACCAAGAAAGATTTGCAGGAAGCTGTGCACTGGCTGGCATTAAAATATAACTTTGAGTTCAAGGTAAAGAAATCAAACAAGTCATTATTGACAATTGCCTACGTCGAAGGCAGTTGCAATTGGCGCTTGAGAGCGACTAAGATGGACACGAATGAATGTTTCGTAATTTACAAGTATTCACGGGAACATATTTGTGAAGTGGGAATTTTTCGAAACGATCACAGGCAAGCTTGAGCATGGTTTATTGGTCGACAGATAATGCACAAGTATCAGGACCCACGGACGATCTGCAGACCTTCGGACATCATTAACGACATCCGTCAAGAGTATGGAGTGGTCATGAGCTACCAGAAAGCCTGGAAGGCCAAAGAATGTGCGTTGGAGGATTTAATGGGATCAACTGAAGAGAACTATGCTAAATTGACCAGGTATTTCCAAAACATGGGGAGAACTAATCCTGGCACGATATTTTTTATTGAGACGGGGAGCAATAATTGTTTTAAGTATTTCTTAATGGCTCTCGGACAATGTATTCGGGATTTTCAAAATGCAATGCGACCCGTAATTCTAGTTGATGGTACAACTCTAAAAGCTAAATATCAAGGCAAATTAATTATTGCTACATGTCAAGACGTCAACATCCAAATTTACCCTATTACATTCGGCATAGTCGACAGCGAGAATGATCTGTCCATGTGTTGGTTCTTTTCGAAACTGAGGGAAGTGATCGGAGAAGTCGAAGACCTTACCTTTGTAACCGATCGGGGACAGTCTATAATAAACGGTATCGCTGAAGAGGCACATCACGGGTATTGCATGTACCATATACGAGGTAATTTGAAAACTAGGTATCGGGGCAAAGACATCGTTTTATTGTTCAGGAGAGCAGCCGAAGCTTACAGTGCTGAAGAGTGTAATAAGTTCATGTTTGAAATAGGAAGTAAATCATTACTGGCGTTGGAGTATCTGACGAACATGGGGATCGAACATTGGGCGCGGTTATACTTTCCAGGACGTCGATACAACATGATGACGTTGAATAACACGAAGTCTCTCAATGCATTGTTTTAGAAGGATCGAGAGTTACCAATTCTCGTAATGATTGAGAACATTCGTAACAAGTTACAACAGTGGTTTCATGATCGATGTGTGGCATCACAGAGTTGCAGTAGCGTGCTGGCCCTAGCTCAAGAGAAGAAACTCTTTAAGGCGGCAGAGGTTGCGAGGAAGTTGAATGTGAAAGCACTAGATGAGTTCCGTTTCTCCGTGCAATGTGAACGTAATACGGCATTTATGGTGGACTTGACTGATAACACATGCACTTGTACGAGATTTCAGTTGGAGAGTTTTTCATGTGAACATGCAGTTGCGGTGGCCATGTATCGAGACTTTGCAGTGAGAACGTTATACTTTTTGTATTATACGACTGAGTCTTAGAGAACAGCATATGCGGAGACTATATTTCCTCAGCCGAATGAAATAGAGTGGGAAGTTCTAGAGCACATTCTCCCGTTTAATGATTTGTTGCCACCAGCAGTTGAACCGCGTGGTCCTGGACATCCAAGTACATCTAGAATACCATCTACCGGAAACTTTTCTCAACCGCGTAGGTGTGACAGGTGCAGAGTCATAGGGCATACTCGACAATTTTGTACTAATCAAATTTCCCTAAATGATAATTAGACAGGTACGTTCAATATTTGTTTTTCATAAATGTTCAATGTTCTATATTTATTCTTGATAAACGATATTTACAATGATTTATATGAAAAAATTAGTTCTATTCTCAGCATATCTGTAAAATAACAAAAAATCAACTTACAAAAAAATAATTATATACATTGAATACAAATTTACAATTATTTCATAATAAAAAAATAATTACATTTACAATGTGAATGTTATATACACCGAACACAAATTTACAATTATTTCATAATCACAAAAAATAATTAAGAACCTGTTTGAGCCACATTATTACAAAAAATACATTCTTAAACAGTAATTTGATATCATTTCAACTACACATTCTTCAATAAAATAATATTACACGCAAATAAAAAACTTTTCCTTATTTTTTAACCACACATTTCTCATCAATACACTATTCAAAAATGCATTATTACCAAAATAATGTGGTTCAAACACCCCCTTAATTTACAATTCGAATGTTATATATATTTAATACAAATTTACGGGTCACCATTAAATTCGAACAAATCACATGCTAACTTCTTTCTCCAGTTCTGTATCCACGATTG